AAAAAAAAAAAAAAAAAAAAAAAAAAACCCAAAAATTATCAAAGCCTAGGGCAGTGGTGATGAACCAGTGGCTCACATGTGGCAGTGGGCATAGGGAGCCCTGTCTGTTGGCATGCAACTCACCCCAGCAACCGAGCATCAGACTGTTTTTTTCTAAACCAGAACTTCATCACTGAGGTTTAATTGCAGTGTTGACAGTTTATGATCAATAAGTGGGCTTTGTGTTGCAGTTTGGGCATTCAGTCTCTATCCAAAAGATTTGGCATCTCTGGCCTAGGGGCTACAGGATTCCCAGGAGGATACACAAATGAAACAGGAAAGGGAGAGCCTCTCTCAATAGAGGAACACAAAAAGTACTGGAGAGCTGGGTGTGGAGGCCATCACCTATAATCCCAGGATTATGGAGGCTGAGGCTGAAGGATTGCCACAAATTTGAGGCTTGTCTGGGCTATATAGTGGGTTGAAGGCCAACCTGGGCTTCATAGCAAAACTCTGTCTCAAAAGAAAAAAACGAAACACTAGGATGAATTCTTCATTCACCTAAAAAATCAGCAAAGATCAAAACATTTGACACATAGGAAAGTTGAGGTGGTGGACCCACAGACACCCACTGTAGGGGGCACAGATTAGGATATGCATCCAGGAATAGCCACCTCGGACTTTTCCTTGCACTGTAGTTACAGAAGCGCGAGCCTGAGTGTCCACTGTTATTCCACACATGCACGGAGATATTGACACTCACTGATGGACATTCCAGACATGGGGCCTCAAGCCATTATGACACCAAGATGTACGTGACCATGGGCCTGCCAGATATAGCAGCATGAGCTGAAAGAATGGGCAAAGCAGTGTGTTCAGAAGGCTACCAGTTTTGTACAAAATGGAAAACATTTCGTGTCTCTCTCTCTCTCTCTCTCTCTCTCTCTCTCTCTCTCTCTCTGGCACAGAATGGCTCTGGAAAGGTCCAGTAGCAGGCTACACTGGTTGACTCTGAGGGAGGGAAATCAAGTTGCTGGGAATGGTGGGAGAGTGAGGAACTATATCTG